GGAGGGTACTTGACTTTTGAAGAGATTTTACCTTCATTATTTAAACTTGAAATCCTCCGGTAACTATTATTTCCTCATTATTTTGTATATTACTATAAATAAATTGTAGCATAGACATATGCTTAGAACATTGTATTTTTATTTATAGATATTTATTCTATTTCTATCTTTTATAACATAAAATATTAAAAATATTCAATTATGCAAGCTCTATCTTTTTCCATGATATTTGAATGGTACAGAATATTCTAGAAAGAAAGAGAATATAAAAGATAAATAAATCATTCCCTGTAAAATTAAAAAGAAATAAAATAGAAAATAGGAAATAAAAAAATCATTCCGTGTAAAATTACATACAATGTGTAGAGAGAAGTGAAGTAGAAAAGAGGAAATTAAAAAAAAAAAAATCTTTCCTTGTAAAATTACGATCTTGCCCTTTTTAAAACAATTGGAAATGATGATTTGCCCACCAGTTATCTATTTTCTTCCTAGCTCTAATTGGTTCTTTCTATATTAGTAAAGATAACAACCTGTTTCAGTTGCTTTTTCCATAGTTAAATGGTGGGGCTATTTAGCATTACCCTTAAATCTTTAAAACTACTCATAAGCGCACTAAGGGGCTGTTTGGTTCGCTATTATAAGGGGTGGAAAACTCAGAAAACCCCTCCACGTTAGATTTTTAACCCTCCACATCAGCTTTTTTGTTTCCGTCCATTTCTTTGTGTCGTTTTGGTTCGCTCGAATGGAAGAGGGAAAACTCTGCTGAAATCGCCGCCAACTAATATTTTTTTTCTCTCCGATTTCCTTCCCCAACCAAGTGAAATTGATGAAAATTTTGCCACGTCAGATTTTTTTCCTTCTCTGCTTTGTTTACAAAAGTTTTCCTTTTTTTTCTATGCGAACCAAACATAAGAAAAATAAATACATTGGTTTCCCACCATTTTTTATGTGCGAACCAAAGCAAAACAATCTATTTCTTAGAAAAGTTTGGAAAACTCAAAACTTGTGTTTCTTTACATGGAATTGCATTTCTCTATATCAAGGAAACGAACCAAACAGCCCCTAAATCCCAAGGGGCCTTGCAATATAGTCCCTTGATGACCGAGATACCCCTAATTAATGTTCCCCTCCCGAAACTCATCTTGTTCAAAATAAAACACTCTTAAGGGTATTCCGGTCATCGAGGGATCAAATTGTAAGACCCCTTAGGACTCGATAGATTTATCAGCAATTTTTCAAAGATGTGAGGGACTAAAATGGAACTAAAATGGAACCGTTGAAGATTTGAGGGACTATTATCTAAATAACCGTAAACTCTTTCATGGGTTGATTGTTGATAAACCTTCATGTACCTTAGCTTAATCGCAGACAGGCCATTGTAGTTCCCATTATTTTACTATCCATAATAGTGCGAAAAGAAGGTCCGGCTCCAAGTTGTTCAGGAATGGTGGCGTTGAGTTTCTCGACCCTTTGCCTTAGGATTAGTTAGTTCTCAAGTTGTTCAGGAATGGTGGCGTTGAGTTTCTCGACCCTTTGCCTTAGGATTAGTTAGTTCTATTTCTGGATGGGGCCCCCAGAAGAGATATAACTCAACGGTAGAGTGTCACCTTGACGTGGTGGAAGTCATCAGTTCGAGCTTGATTATCTCTAAACCCAAAGTGAGTTTTTCTATTTTGACTTGCTCCCCCGCAGCGATCGAACGAGAATGGATAAGAGAGGCTTGTGGGATTGACGTGATAGGGTAGGGATGACTATATTGCTGGGAGCGAACTTCGGGCTAATATGAAGCGCATGGATCCAAGTTATGCTTGGAATGAAAGGAATTCCGAATCAGCCTATTGTTGCAAATAGATCCCCATATTTTTTTGAGGTAGGTCAAAAAAAATCCTTTGGAGCATCTATCTGAAAGGGTAAAAGAAAATTTTCACTATAAGGGTCTATTTGCAACAATAAAACTGCACGAAGTCTATCAACAATAAACCCTTGTTTTCAGTGGTGGAGCCAGAAATTTTAGAAGGGGGCGGGGGTCCCAAATCAAAAGAGGGGGGGAAAGTAGAGCACAAACCAGAATGAGATCTGGTTAAAGATGAGAGTTGGAGGCTGAGAGAATGTAGGTGGATGAGAAGTTTGAGATCTGATTCACGACTCGAGAGAGGAAAATAGGAGTTCTGAGAAAGTTTGAGTAATCTTGAATTTTACCTCTATGATTTATAAAATCACTATTGACCAATTACTCGATGATTCTTTTTTTTTTGGTTTTTTTGATAAGACCCCTCCAATCATGCATAATTGCAAAACTAGTCCTCAACAATAAGGATACGCAAAACTCTCCCTACATCATCAACTTTGAATAAAATACCCCTAAATCAACAAAAAACCATTAATTTGATATGCTAATATGCAATTGCAATGTAAAAAATATTTTTAAAAAATTGAAATATTTACTCATCATATCCAACAAAGTTAATGAGTTGTTGATTTGGGGCTTTTTTTCCCTCCCCAAAGTTAGTGATTTACGGGTAGTTTTGAAACTATTGAGACCTAGGGTACCTCAGCAAACGTGGGTGATGTAAGAGGTATTAAAAAACAAAATAAATTGGGCATTATAGCTCTTACCAAGGGCTAGTAGCTGTATTATCATGTTTTTCCTCTTTATTAGAAAATTGGGTTTAAGATGTTCAATGCACTAGCAATTTTATGAACGGTGAACACATCCCACCACAAAGAATAGACTCCTAGCTATTTTTATTACTTCCTAGCTCATTTGCTTCTTTCCCTCTAGTCTTTTCGTAGCATTTAGCTATGTTCTTTTGTAGAATCTAAGTTTTCATTGTAGCTAGCTACGAGGCAGAGCTAGAACAAGGAAAGTAGATAGACTATGAGAGTAGGTAAGCAAGAAGTAAGTAGTGCTTTCATGGCTTGCTAGTTGCTAGACTGCTAGTATATACTATTTAGGTTTCTTCTACTTTTTTTCAATAAGGGGCCAGGGCCCATTTGGCCCATACATGGCCCCCTTCATGCTTGTTTTATTTCTTATGAAATTGGTTTGAGTATATCGTTATCTATTTCTTTATAATAACGAGATGATCCAATATTTACTATTCATGTTACACTAAATTATTGTAGTATTAAACTGTAGCACAAACCGGAGATCCGATATTCGCTATTAATGCTATAGTAAATTGGTGTAGCATTTACAAAAACTGTATTTAAATGTTGTTGTAGTACTTACAAAAACTGTATTTAAATTGGTTATTTTCAGGTCGTCCTTGCTCAGCCCCGGCACCTCGAACCTGAGCTTGTAGCAGTTGTCGTCCTCTTTCACGCGGTGGCCCAGCAGCTTGTACTTCAAGCTGGTGGGCAGTTGTACAAGCGCGTTGGCTAAGGACCTCAGGTCTGAAATTGCAGGTGCTGAGAAATTTAGAAATAAGCCATCAGATGCAGAGGTATTAGGATACGTATCATACGGATTTAGGTACATTTTAGCGGATCTATACACCAATTCTGAGACTTGCTACCTCCTAAATTAAGTAACAAACCTGTCAGTTAGAGCAATTATCATCGTATCCTTTTTATTTGTTTCTAACCAGATTCTTCTAAATTTATCTCTAGTCTTCTTTCTATACACCCCCTTGATCTTAGAGAGTTCGTCACTTACTACGACTCCAAAAAAAAAAAAAAAATTCTCGCACTTAGTTCTTTAACGTCCAAATGAAGTTATGTTTAGTGTTAATTTGTTCTTTATATACGGTTATCTTAATTTGCAGCACACAAGAATCTCGCTGTAATATATTGACGTTACATGACATCCACAAGACAAGTTTGTTGATGGAATCATGAAAAAGTTAAAAGAAATAATTAGTGAGCCTCCTCTAATTGGTACAGATCGAATAAGGATGTATCCACAATTTTGATCCAATAAAACAACTTCTGAATGCAACAAGTAAACACAATTTATGAATGTTTAATGTAATTACCGTTGTTTCTGTAACGGAACGGGAGAAAACTCAACGGATTCCTCCACAGCAGGCCACGCCTACTGCTACGAGAAGTATCAGCCGGAGAAGAGGTAGCTAGCACTGCCACTAGATTGTCGCCAGCTTTCTCACTGGAATTCGACGACGACGATGAGGAGGAGTAGGATATAAGTGATCTTGGCCTGCGAGCTTCAAATCCTTGCATGCCTCTAAATGATCTTTGAATGTTAGGCAACGGACAGAAGCTAGAGTTTTTCATACACATACGAGCCAAAGCCATTGATTTCAAACCACTGAATCACAAAATAGATCGGACTCCAAACTAACCGTCAATAGTTTTAAGTGTTTTATGTGTTGGTATATATGAATGGACAAGGGAGTGAAAACTTCTAGTAAGGGAGAGAATCATCTAGGAAAAGGAGAGAAGAGCCTCAGAGCTTCTTGGAGTAGCCAATAATACACGTCATGATGTCAATCAATATGGATGTAAAAGACTTTAGAGTCTTCTCGAGTTAAAAGGGCGTATAATTCCATGTATAATTCCACGTACCATTTAAACACTTCGACGTCATCAACAACAAAGTAAAATTTTGACGAAACTGCAAAGTTCTCTGAATAATAATCTATTTTCTTTTCTTTTTTTTCAATTAAAGAGAAAGCTTATCATGAACTTTCATATTTTGTAAGAAAATACAGAAAAGTAATGAAAATTGTAGCTAGTTACTTTCTTAATAACATTTTAAATTAGAGTCTAAAATGCCTTAAAGTTCATTATATATATATATATATATATATATATATATAAACAAAAGGTTTCGACGGTGCACGCTCAAATTAGTACATTAGCGTCATGAAGATCCACTGAGAACAAATAGTTTTCTCCAATAAAAATTTTATGGCGATTGGCGCACAACACACCAAAGTTCATGATTGTTGAAACTCAACCAATAAAGAACTTTGATTGCTAATCATTTCAAATGACCAATCACTAATGCTAGCATACTGCAAAACTTTCAACAGCAGTAAAAAAAATGGGGGGAAGCTTCAATAATATGCATTTGAGAGAACAGGCAAAGGAGAGAGAGAAATAAAATAAAATGGTAAAAGAAAAAAAGGGAGCAACATTGAATAGAGGAATTTGAGACCAGCACACACATTTGAAATTACAGGATACTAGTGATTTTCCACTATGTACCCAATAGCATATAATATCTCATATATCTGAGATTCATACTTAATTATAAACAAGGGCCCTCCTCTGGTTCGGTTCTTAATCATACATCCCCTCCTGCTCCCAGACGTCCACAAGGAAATCAATCATTTCCTGCAATCAGTAAAGACCAGGTAGGGTAAAACATGGGACATTGAAAATGATATTATTAAAGAAAATGATTCATCACCAAACTTACAGAAAGAGGTATAGGCTGAGGAAAGCGCTTGTTGCTCCCTAGCAAACTCTCATACGTTGCATTCCAGCTGCATCCATAAAAATAATTAGAGAATCGAATCAGATTAATTTAGAGCAGCCATGTTTATTATTACATCAAGAGAACTTTATGGGACTGCGTGTTGCACAACATATTTTTGTAAATATGGGAGCATAGAAATCTCAATAATATATTAGAAAACAACATGCTGCTTCTTTCTTTTTCCGGTAAAACTCAAACTGATACGACGCCAAAAGGGAGTTAAAACTAAAGAGCGCATAAAATATTGTATGCACTTATTAGTATATCTAAGGAGGGGGGGTTGGAAAATCTTAAATCATTTTTTGAAAACAAAGCTGATAAATCAAACCATCCTTTTAACTGATCCAATATTCCAATCATCTTTCTGAAATAAAAGCTCTTCAAAGAAATAAAAGGATCAAGCTTATAGCTTGTTAAATGTCAATCTGGCGATTCAGAAAGCCAAATAGCTAGCCATCCAGGGGGAAAAGAAAAAAAAAATATTCCAATCCAATATACCCTACACCATCGCGTCTTCTCCCTTCTACAATACTAGATTTTCTCCCACACATTATGCATGTGACGTGCCTTCATAAAACCAGTAGATAAAATAATTATAGTATATTGATCATAAATAACTCTAAATATTTTAAAATATATTCTTCTTTTAAAAATGGCTTATTCATTAAAAATACTAACATATGAAACTAAATGAATTAATTATTGTCCATGTATAACATAATTTATGTAAAAGAGAGAAATAAGAGGTTATGACAAACTTAATAATTACCAATTACGTGCTCAGAAAAGAACAATCTAGGAAGTTCAAGTCCAACTAACATTTATCTACTTTTACGCATGGCACGATTTAACCAAATGAGAAACAGAAATCAAAAATGTGATTAGTTGCTATTAATTCTTAGTGTTGATCCACAAGAGACCTTGTACAGGCAACAAACTACTATGAACATGCCTATGTATTAATCTCGTCTAATTTAAGTATCTGTTAAAACTATCCTAGAACTCTAGCCTGGGTTAATTTGACATATGTATATAGTGATTATTGTTTTCTATTTGACAACTCATGCCGGCGAACACTTCCTGTTTGGCAGATAAATTTTACCATTGCTACTTGTTGTGTATACTTATGCATAATATAATATAAATACAAAGATCTGTAAGCTCTATTGATTAAAACTTCCATAGTAGTTCTTTTGATGCATACTCCGCGCATTTATAACTAAGACATACCTTATCCTTGGTTCTCGAAGCTCTTCTGTCTGAGTTTGAGACTTTTTATTGCTAGTCCATTGCTGCCTGGTTTGGGTCCAGAGGAGAAACCCTGCATCACATACATTTACGCAAAAATTGAACATCAAATTTTTCACGAATTGTTTACAATTTCTAAATCATGGTCGCAAAGAAATTTTAAACACATACATCACCAAGTGTACTGCTATTGATGTTGAATAAAAACTTAAAACTTGGTAAAAAGACAGTTTAATTGACTATACTGTGTTTCGTCATAATGTGTTCTCAACAAACCAACTCTTATCTACTTTCTTGTTATTCCCTCAGTTAACTGGGTTACGCGCAAGAAATAGCAAAGCATCTAACCAATTTACTAAGGACAAAATTATCAAAAGACTATCTCTGAGTAGGAACTATAAGTATCTTATCACAAAAGGCATTATTATCCTACGTGACTACCTAGGAATGAATTCTCAGAGCCCAAAGATATTTCATTGACTACTACCATTGGCCCATCTAATTTTTGTTATTTGCATAAATTTCACCAACCTTATTTTGTTTTCAGAGGAATCTATAAATTGACCATTTGTTTCAGAGTACTAGAACATAAATTCCCAACACAGACTATTTAAACAAAAGCGCTTCAATAATCAACGTGTTCATCATATTAGAGCACCAAACAGTATATGCTGATTGCAACGAAGGTAGTCTGCTAAAATATACTGCTTATCTCTCCAGTAATTGTTATGTACATAAATTTGTTAAAATGCACTGACAGGTTCTAAACCTTAATTTAAACAGAAAATTAAAAATACATGAAACACAAAAAACAGATAACAGTTAATAAGAGTGTTAAATCAAACTTAAGTTAATTATAAGATCATAGTGTCTGGTTCGCAATTTACCGTGATTCACAAATTCAGAAGGGCTGCTGGTGCTTCCTGCTCCATGATTGTCTAGAGTTTGTGTCGATGTGCTCATCGAAGAAATGCTCCTTTGCGATTGAATTCCACAATTATCCATCTCATGTGTGCTCGTACTCCAAATGTCCTCCTTTGTGCTGTGTCTTCTCACTGTTCGACCTTGGATTTTTAAACCCTTGGCAGGCTCGTCTACTGAAGTTATTGGAGTTGCCTTTGTACAGGAGCTAAGACAACCTCTGTTCTGTTACAAATCAGGATTTACCATATAGAAGAGTAGCATTGATTTTCTACCTTCAATCAAATTAATAGACATCAATGTTTGCTTTTACTGTAAATACAAAAGGAGTGAAAGTCTTATGAAAACAACTGTACCCCAAGTCTCTATCCTAACTCAATTTCTAGTAGGCAACATCTCATTCTTGGCCTAGTCACATATTCACAATGCATTGAAGTAGGTTGACACAGTTGAGGTTACGCTAATGGAGTATTGGAGTGATCGCAGCCTGCCTGCTTCAACCAACCATCTCGATCATCCAACAAATCCAAATAAATTGGCCATTGCGATGCGTGATTACTAGCAGTTATCCCAAGGACATCATCATACATGACTGTCTTATCTTACAAACAATGACCACATCCCCCTTTGTTTTTTATCAAAGACCCACAAAGATGCAACTCACGAATCATGCAGAACAAGCAAATAGATGCATATGATGCATTGCACAATTCAACTTTTACAAATAATGAACCACCGGAGCACTCCACAAGTATTAGCACATTGCCAAGAAATGGTTAGAAATAAACAAGACATGACCTACCCCAACTACCAATGATTTTTAGACAGTAAAAAGCCACCCACCTCCTCTGATTTTTATTGAGGACCGATGTAACCAAATCACGCACCGTACAGAACAAGGGAATGGATGCGTATGATGCATTGCGCATTCCAGTTTTTAGAAACAGTAAGCCGCTTTTAACACTCAACCAGTATCAGCACATTGTAAAGAAATGATAAGAAATAAACAAAACAGAACACTTCCACTCCAAAATTGGAAACTAAAACAGGGATGGAAGCTTTACCCCATTTTTGTGAAGTTCTACCTCGTATCAGAGGCAAGTTACCGAAATTGAACTATACACAACAAAAGTAGATTGTCAACATGCAAACAAGTAACCCCTCATCTATACTTGTCGCCCCTCAACTATTTATCACCCCTGGATCATCTATCCCTTTAGCAACACTCATCACTCGCAAACTATTCTACGAATACTCATCACCCTTAGAAATGGTAATTTTAGAAGAATAAATTGCAGATAACCCTCTCCCTCATGAATTGAGGGGATAATAAGTACTACTAAAGGTATAGATAAGAGGGGTTCTCCATTTACCCTAAAAAGCACTTAGTTGAGAAATTTCCAAAAGTGTTTATATGATGGAAACATGCTATATTCGTGAATTCAGATGGAGACATTTCCGGATCGACGGAACAACGCATCTTATCATATAAAAAAAGGGCGAATAAACCTTAGAAAAGAAATAGCGCTCCTTTTCCATCTTTTATTTATTCACTGGATTCAAATTTCAATATCTATTTGCAAAAAAAAAAAGCAAAAAAGAGGAAAGAACTGACCCCATGCATGCGAAAATTTGCCCAATCCAAGAAGAGATCGATCTAGAGAGAAGCATAGATCATCTATCGATCGATTTCTGATCCAGGAACTCAAAGGAAAAAGGAAAAAATGTCCTTGATTCCTGTCGATTTTAGGTAAAGATAGTTAAAATTTTTGGGGAAAAAACTAGTATCTTTAATAAGATAGGATCGAGATGAAGATGATGAAATTGATACCTTTCCCTTTCGTTTCCTGAATCGATCGATCGATTGATCGATCTTAGGTCAAGGAGCGAGCAGCTGAAGCTAATTTTTTCCCCCTTTTTTATTTTGGGTTTATTTCCCTTTTGTTCTGATCTTTATTATAATATTTTATTTGTGTAAAAAAGAACTCAAATTCAGATAAGCCCCTAAAGTTTGCCTGATATTTCTATGTGCCCTTAATCTATTTCACAATCTATTAGTCCCAAGGTTCAATCTATTATTTTAATCTGTCTTATATTCTAATTAGTTTCTGCGACAGTTCTCCCTATTTGGGGAAGGTTATTTTCGGAATTGTGATTTTATGAGAATACGTGCATGCGAGAAATCAATCGGTGCCTTTCACAAGTAAAAATGTAAAATACAGGTGCAATTTAGGGATTTAACTGCCCCGCTTAGTGGTCAGAACTTCATGCTCACATGTGAAAAGTTTTGATAGGATGCATATCCATCTTGCTATCCTAACAAGATTTGTTTTTGGAAAATGATAGGAGCACACCCCCAACCACAACCTCAACCACACATCCTCTTTCATTTGCTACAGTTCACCGGTCCCCACATAGGATTTTAAATTTTAAAATCTTATGTGGGGCCCGGTATACTATAGCAAATGAGAGAGAGAGAGAGTATGGTTAAGGTTGTGGTTGGTGGTGTGCCCCTAGCGTCACGCCCTTTGTTTTTGGAGGGAAAAGGTTATCATTCCCTCTATTTCCACATGCTCTTTATTCCCATACCTTACATATTATTTTTCATAAAGTTCCATGAACCAAATCATTGCTACTTTTTCCAACTCCGCCAATAATGCAAGCAAGCAGTTTTGTAGCAAGAGTGTGATTATTTTTCCAATACTCCGAATATTCCCTCGTTGAAATATTGTTTTTTTGTAGGGCGGTGAACCACCATTTGGGCTAAATGGCATGCAAATAAAAGCTATAGGAGCTTAATAGATTAAAACGATAGATTGAGGGCTTAATAGAAATGATAGGTAAACCTTAGGGGGCTTAACGGATTAAAATAATACATTGAGGGGCCTTACAGATGATATATGAGGTAAATCTTAGGGGCTTACCTGAATATTCTATGTGATAGAAAAAGACTGATATTCAAATAGCATAGACACAAATTTTTACTTTTTTTTTCCCCTTTTTGGGATGAAATCAAACCATAGATAGAAAAAGAGAAAAACAAGACAAAAAATAACATTAGCAATAGGAGACAATAATCAAACTTAACATAGATTCTATTTATGTCGTAAAGGAAAACACATCTCAATTACTAAAACCTCACACACGCATAAATTAATTCACATCCATCAAAGAACACCAACAACAGACTACAGCCCACGATCAAAGATCTCAGCAGTTTTATTCCCACATACAGTAGTGCTATTATTTAGAGAAAAAAAAAAGAACCCGAAGCAAAGAAACAAGACAAATGCTACCTAAGTGGTGAGGATGGGGGGCATGTAATCAGACTTGGTTCCAAGAACACGAGCCTTTGTATCGGGGAAAAACTCCGTCCCTGGGAGCTCTGTAACAGCTCCTTCACCGCTTACTCCAATAGGATAGCTGAGCAAATGTCCAGGGAGATCGCGTTCGGGTTCCTCCTGAGAGTAGAGATCCCAGTACTTGTCAGCGACACGGTTCACTTTCTGCACACACTCGACGCTCTCTGGATGGAGGAAGAGGTCGTCGAGCATTCCAAGATGCTCGTACCATAAAGCCAGTCGGAATCCATGGATCTGGCCTCTGGCCGGCTCTCCTCGGGTTGCTAGGTGGTAGGGTTGGAAAGCACCCATGGCGATCTCGGAGTCCCTTGCTCCGTCCATTGATCTCTGGTTGATGTTGGCTGACCCGATAATTATGTACTCGTCGTCAACTGAAACAAAAATTGATGTTAGATGGTTGAAGTTGATCAAGAATCAGAAATTTTTAGGTAGAGGAGATGATGGCTGGATTAATTGGACCAGCTAGGTGTGGGTTGCAGCTGTTTCAGGGATAAATCTCAAGCATTGCACCCCTTGGTGTAGCAAGAACACTGATTGGTTTCAATTGTTTAGGTGAAGTAAGAAAATGTCAATGAAAGTGGAAGAGACAGCGTAGGTCTCAGGAAGCAAATGGAGAGAAAAGGCCTTGTTCAATACTTGAAGATTGGCTCATGACTGATAATGTAGTCACATAAGAATGACCTGTGAACCCGAAACAAATTGGCGAGGTTTTACTATTAGGATATTTCTTTATAAAGCCGATGATCTCAAGTAATAACAGAAATAAGCATTGTACTATTAAAGCAGCAAAAGAAGAGCAATAAAGGAACTAGAATGAACTAAGCATCGAAGCTTTTTTCCGAAGGCAATACACAAAAACTGAGCTCGATTCAAAACTTAGCCAGCTTCAGGATGTGAAAAGCCTCATCTTGAAAGGGCAAGTCCATGAATTAGTAAGGTTGCAATAAATTAACCGAAAGATTGACTAATGAATAAGAAATCAGCAGTAAACAAGAGATGCACTTATTCTAAACAAAAGAGTTTTAAGTTAAATTACCAATCATCATCTTTGCATGAACATATATCATGAACCTTCTGGCCTGCTGCGCTCTGAAATAATCTGTATCTGGCTCTGGCTGCTCCTCTGGTGTGTATTCTCCCTCCGTCTTCACCTCCCGATTGCCTAAGCAGAAGAAGGTAAGATAGTCTTTGGGGTTTGCTGTGATTCCCTTAGCTTCGAGTGCCTCTATGATGTCAGTGTACATCATTTCCATAGTCCTCCTCTGCCAATCTAAAATTGCCTGAACCGATCCACTTTCAGGAATACCCTCAGGCCACATTGGAACAACAACATAAACCGTAAACCTCTCCCCCGCTTCAATCTTACTAACAATCTTCAATGAGAGCTCCTTAGGGATCAGATGCAAAGCCCCAATATCCTCAGGCTTTATATCATCAGCCTTCCAACCAAAACAACTACCAAGGAAATACTGATTCTCAATGTAGATAAAATTTTTTGCCCTGCGTATGGCATGTATATAAGCATCCTGGATGCTCCGGTCGATGATGTTATCTTTTCCACTAACCAACCCTGCTCTTGCGGCGTCCTCAGGTGTCTCAGGGAAGCCAAAGGCAGCGCCGCCATCAATGGATCTGAACAGCTGCACATTCCAAGTTTCTTTGTCCTCGGGGTACATAACAGGCGAGGGTGGAATAATGGTATCAGATAGCTCTCTCAGCTGCACAAGGAGATCCTTACCTCCTTGCTTTCTCCATCTTTGCTCAAAATTGTACAAAACATCCCAAGCAATCGGTCCTTCTAGGCGACAGTGAATATCATGCCAAGGTTCCCTTGGCCCACCTTTTGTAATAGCCCCATCTGCGAAATTCGGCTGATGGAAGTCAGTATGGTGAGCAGTATCGAGGGTCCTGAACAAAGAGTGAAACTGAGTGTCATATCTCCCGTCACAAAGATCGATACCACCAACGAAACTTACAATTCTCCTCTGTTGAGAACTGCTGGTTGGCATCTCATGGTCCACAACGACAATCTTTTGATGATGAGTGAACATGGTAGAAATCTGCAGATCCTGAACAAAGCTTCCTCCATCATCCGGATTCCGGGGGCACAAAACACAGTTTACATCACTGCCACGAAAGTAATTCTCAGTTTCTTCATCATGAGTCGCCATGAGGCCGTCTTTCTTTAGCAATCCCACTGAAGTCCGATCATCCCAAACAAGCATAAGCACCCGGACACCTTCACCTGCTTTCTTCTTGAGTAGCTCCCCAAGTGTAATATCCCCTCCAGGCTTTTGCCTTTTAGAATCTCTTATGAGAGTTATTTCAGTGTATACAGACCAACCAGTTATGTAAATTAAATGTTGGGCATTGCTAATTGCATCAAAGATGTCCTCCCAACATCTGTGGGGTTCATAAAATTTTCCATTGGCAAGTGGAATTTTGGGAATGAAATTGTCTGGAACGTGGGCATCTTGGTACAACGATACTTTGCACCCCTGTCTCATTGAATAAAATGTGTGAGGAACCCCAGGGTATTTTGCACTGCGTACACCTCTTGACCAATTGCGGTCCTTTGAGATATCAAAATACTGAAGTTTCACATGGATTTTAGCCCCGCTATCTAAAGGGTTACGGTCATCATCACAAATCTCCAGCCATCTATCAACTTCATCACTGCTTAGTACCTCCTCAACGGGGAGGTAAGCCCTACCAATTAGGGAGGCTCCAATAGGGTTGTCAAACTTCAAAGTGAAGATGATATCGGCAGCCATATGCGCACAGTAGATGTGAAAAGACTCGTACCAACGAGGATTTACAGGTTCATCTTCAATCATTCTTGTCCTACCAACTCTGGCCTTTTCTAAATCAACAGTAGCATAAAGTTTGGTAGATCCTTTGCCAAGACCAACAACATCCTCAACACCTTCAACAATCTGTAAACAAGTTAATAATATTTAGGAAAGTAAAATGACAGATTAATGATGAAATGGAGACAATGGTGGCACATGAATATCAAAAGCTATTAAAATATTCATAACGCTACTTGGAATTTCACAATCCTATAAACTAATGTTTTCTTTCAATAAACAAGGAAATAAGATTTAGTAGTACTGTAGCAGAGCAGTTCCTTATGATATAACATCTTATATAATATGCCATTTAGCCTAACAAGCAAAAATGAAGAAAGTTATGCTCAGGTAAGAAATTATGATAACACAAACACTTCATTCCCTGAAGTCAAATTTACTTCAAGCAAAAAATTCAAAAAAAAAAAGCAACGACACTTACCAGACTGTGTAGTAGGAATGAAGTTGGTGATATTTTTTTCATTAAGCCGCTATATGATAAAAGTTTTTTTGTTTTAATATAACAAGTTTGACATGAGTATGCTCCAGCATGCTCCAGCTTCAGAGGGAGTACTAGAGTAGTTAGCATGTTAGGAAAGTTAAGCATAATATTTCAATCCTAGTTGATATCTTTAGCCGACACCACCCTTTCCCAGCCCTTAATTATCCCATTAATGATTTCTTATTTCTTTCATATTATTACACGTAAAAATAGTTGGTTCTCAGATAACTAAGTTGCATTTTTGGCTTCCAATCAACCTGAGGTTCTCTTTGCTAATTGATCGCTCACGGTTAAAATAAACTGTATTTAGCTACCTCCAAAAGTTACAGGAGAGTGCAATTTAGAAAACTCTAATCGGATTATAGTGTTCTTAACCTGAAATTTTAAAAAAAAAATACAAAAAGTGCAGTTTAGAGAACTATAACTAAAAATATACAAAATCACGGCTTCTTAACATGCCAACTACTGCTTCAAATAATCCACGGTTTAGAAATTGAGTCAAACTACGAGTAAAGCTCTCATAAACTTAAGTGGATAAGAGCCAAATCGTCTCCGCTCCTGGTAGCAAAGCGGGAGCAGGAACAGAGTCCTTCAGTACAAACAACGGCTAGAGATCGTGACCTAAAACAACTTAATTCACCAAACCCTAAAACAAAACAGAAAAAAAAAATTCACCGACACGAATCAAACTAACACCTTGCGTAGGAATCTGGGAGCGCCGCCGGAGCTCCTCACCGACAACGAGTCAGCCTCAAAGATGGTCACGTGCAGAGTACCGTGGAGCAAAATCTGCGCCATGATCTTCTTCTTCTTCTTCTTCTTCCTCCTCCGACGATTTCAACCTGTAAAAAAAACACCAAGAAATCACGAAGTAGGCGTTGACCGCGTAATCAGAAGAATCGTTAGGATGACAGATCTAGAGTAAAACAGAGAGCAGATCCGATCTCGAAGCAGAAAACGAAGAACGGATCCGAGGGTTACGGTTCGTTGGTAAAGTTACCGAGATTTTGACTGGATCGAGGGAGATCTGAGGGAGCGCAAACGGTGAGGAGAGAGAAATAAATGGGAAGTAATGATGTTATAGGAAGAGGAGAGAATGTGTGTGAGTGAGTGAGTTTGGGTGTGATTGGGACGGGAAAGTTGAGTAACGTCATTTACTTCCGAACCCATAAATTAGGGTAAATTACGCTTTAATACCCCTATTGATATCCATCATGGATCTAACAGAAGATTCGCTTTAAGACCATCTCCAGCAGGAGGTGAAATTTCACCTCCTTCTCTCCTGCCACATCACTTTATTTAATTCAATAATCTTTATTTCCCTATCAACTCTACAGCAGGAGATTTTTCGGAAAGTTTTTTACTTTATTTGGGACCCACCATAAACCACATCACTTCAACATATACCCCACCATATTTATTCATTCTTTTTCCTATTTCATATATATTACTATTTTATTTGGTATAAAAATTATAAATTAATTCATTGTATTTATCTCAAAAAATATCAAATAAAAATAAGGAGGAAAAAAAAAGCTCGCCCAATCAAAATTCGCCACGTGTCCGCTGGCCATCATCCCGCGCGCGTGGGCTTGTCAGAAAAGTCCGGGGTGAATTTTTCACCCTTTGGCCAATCTCATTTATTTCACCCGCACAAAAAACCCCTGCTGCCTTCAAATATCCCTTGGAAAACCCCCTGCTGCATTTGGTCTAAGGGGCGGTTTGCCTGAAAAAATGGGAAATCAAAGAATAAGAAATCAAAAAATAGGAAAACTTGTATTATGGTTGTTTGGTTGGCTAAAAAAAGAAGGAAATCAAAGAATATAAGATGAAATGAGATGAGTTGACACCATATTATTGGATGATGTGAGTGATTTTTTAAGAAAACTTGTTTTGATGTTGTTTGGTTGGTTAAAAAAATTTAAAAATAAGAAAATAGATGAGATGAGATGAGTTGCTATTATATTATTAGATGATGTGACCCACACTTAAGGAAATCAATTCCCTTGGTTTTTTGGAGGAAATGGGTGGAAATGAAATGTTACTAAGATGAGATGAGTTGTCACCATATTATTGGATGATGTGGGTGATTTTTAAAAATAAGATGAGATGGGTTGGATGATGTGACTCATTTCTTGTGTTTGGTTTATTTTTAAAAATAAGAAAGGAGATGAGATGTGATGAGTTGGTGGATAAAAATAATATTTTATTTGATAAAAGTGTATAGATTTTCTTTTCTTTGCGATGAGTTTTAGTGATGGAAATGGATAAAAATAATATTTTAATAAAAAGTACAAAGATTTCATTTTCTTGGTTTTTAGGAAACCAACCAAACAGCCCCTAAGTATTAGGGAGTTGTGGAAAAACTTTCCAATGACTATATTATCCCTTTTTTTTATTACATTCTAATAGTAACTAAACTAAATTAATTTATCATTGTTAATTAATGATATTATATGTTACTTTAAATGTGTATAATTTGGTCCCTAAAACTTTCAATATTATTATAAAACTCTACATCATATTAATTATTAATAATGCATATATATTAATAGATAATTGCATGTTGGTAAAGTATTTATGGAAAGAATAGAAAAAATAGAATTGTCCTAATATTATACCATGACACTCATATAGGAAAATACAAAGAGTATTCTTATGTTTAGGTAATAGGACAAAAGGTACAAACATAAAATTTTAGAAACCATTAGTGCATTTAAGTGCAACAAGGTACATTATCTTAAATTAAAAAGAAAGCGCAACAAGATACAAGTGGAGGTATATAAGTATAATTTTGCTAAATTATAAGGTATTTAAGTTCAGTTAAGCCTTTAAAAGATTTAAAAACTTTGTTATCCACAAACAATAGTATATGATCTCATTAATAAATAATATTCATTATACAATATGAGGCCACAAGCAGAGCTTATATTTATATAGTAAAAGAGATGTGGAAAAAATTATAGCATCATATTTTGAATGAGTCTCAAGATTTTAAATTATTTTCTGAAATTATATACTTCACTTAGAAAATTTTAGAAGAGGCTTTCGAAGAACTACTACAAAGTGTTGGACATCGGATAAATATTGAACAAATAAAATCTACAATATCGGATTGCAAAAATTAGGGATATGTATATAACACATCGGATAAATATTGAACAAATAAAATCTACAATATCGGATTGCAAAAATTAGGGATATGTATATAACATTGGGTGCCATATGAGATAATATTCATTCATAACATGACATTATAATATGTAATCTAACATATTAATAAATTTTAAACATAAGAACTTGCATCAAGATATATGTTTAAGATTTAGGAGAGCTGAGAGTGGAGAGATTTGGGAGAAGAATTGTGGCCTTTCGTAGGTTTTGTGGGTTCCGATTTTGTTTCCCAAACACGATCCAAACCCGAGCCCACAATCAAATTAAAAATGACACGATTTTCTCGATATCTTCAAAGAGATATATCGATCATATTTTCAATATTGGTCAATATATCAAAAAGTCACCAAACAAAAGAAAACAATATAAAATATTATTAGGATAAAGTCTTTAACCCAATATATATATTAGTCGATATAGCAATGTCTGTAAGAGCAAATATGTAAAGGTTATTTAGATATTAGTTCCTTGATTTTAAATATCCAATAATTCTATGTTATTACCTCGAAATTTTAAAATTGCTTATAAATTTAGGGACTAATATTAATTTATTAAAAATTTAAGGGACGATTTATAAATAAGTCATATTTAAAAGAAGAGTTAATATTTAAAAACCCTCTCAAATATGGCAATTGTCTTAAAACCCACTGAACCGATTCAATTTGACAAAACCCCCCTATTATGAGGGGTGTTATAGATAACTCCTCTCAATTTTGGTGTAATTTTAGAAAACAACACTCAACTATAGCGTGTCTCATAAAAACTCCCATAATCTTTTACATTTCTATTAACAAACCCCCTTAATATTGTTACTTTAATATGTGATTTGGACAAAACATCTTGAAGAAAGCAATTTTAATAAAAAAGAAACCCTCAACTGATAATAAAAGGACCACAACCAATTTACAATTCGTTTTCCCTCTATATCACCTCTTTTTCTTTCATCTGGTAAAAACTAAGGTAATTTTTATGGTTGATGGATATTTTAGTCTTTCCAAGTCAAGTACTTATCACATAATAGATAAGACTGCATGGTATTAATTTTGAGAGGTTAGGTTTAAGTGAAAAATGTTCACAGGGATTAAATCAAATTTTAAAGGTTGAGATATATTATCTACAAAACACCCAAAACTTGACGGAGATTTACTCAGTTTTAAATAGTTTGTGGGGGAGGAATGGAGTGGGTTGACATGCCCCCCATAGTTGAGCGGGAGTTTCTAAAATTAGCCCTTAAACAAAAGCATAACTTATGGCACATGTGACATTAATTTTATACGAGTGGAATTCATAGCAAGTCTATCACTCAATGAATTAGTTTGGGTTATTTGTCCTTAAATTTATCCTACACATCAACTTTAAAAATCTTTTATTATAAGAATCTCTAAGAGAAATTTAATACTTATTTGAGATGAGTATGTGATCTTTCTAATTCCCCTTGTCTTTCATAATTTGTAATAAAATATTTAACAAAATAAATTAAGTTTACATTTTATATTACTCATGTTCTTATAAGTTTATGAAGCTCATAGATTGGATATGAATATTATTGCAGATATTGTATTCTTCTAACTTCTTAAGCTAAAATTTTGGATGTTGTTTGACATTGGATAGATATGAATTATTTTATTAATAATCAATATGAGTGCATAATATGTATAAATCATTCTCAGACTATATTATATAATTTTTTGAAATTAGAGAGTAATCGTTTTGACAATTAATTAGTAGTTGAGAAGATATAAAAAGAGTACAACATCATATTTTGGGATCACATAATTTATAGTTTCTTTCTTGATTTAATTTGCACATTCTATTTAAAAAATTCTTGAACAAAGTTTTTGAATATCTATAATACTTGATCGTCGGATAAACAACAATGGAAGTAAATCATAGGTGGAAGTGATTTTTTTATAACTGAACAAAATCCTTGATGACTAGATAAAACCTACCATTATTGTTTGATGAATTCAATAATTTATTTTTTCTTTAATAATAATAGTTTTTTAGTATAGGTCCCTTACATTATTAATATTTTAAATTTATACATTCAAATTACTAATTAATCTTAAATTATTAATATTTTAAGACTTTAAGCGTAGCTATTTCTCTTGAAGACAAAATGTTAAAACAACACATGGAAATATCCAAAAAAAATTAACATAATATGATAATTATAAAGTTTTTTCAACCATGTTATAATAAATAAATAAATTTAAAGTAAAAAAATTAAAATATTTACCCACGTGCATTCCACCTAGTAAAACTAATTTCAAAATATGAAAGGTTTGGGAACTAATCTCAAAACAAATCGTTTTTATTTAATAAAAATAGAGTATATTTATGTGCAGTATTGGGTAAATAATAAATTATTTAAGTGTAACATACCCCATATATTAAAAGTATTAACCCACAAGATTGGTGGGTCTCATATATAGTTTTTCCGATAACCCTTTTTATCTTAAAACCGCAATAAGAACCATTGATAAATACATTGGTTGGATGAAAATGGAGTTGCAAAAAAACAGAGCAATTAGATTTATAAATACATTGTTTAGTTTTTAACTTTGTATTTAGAAAATATACATGGACTAGCTGCAAAAATAAATTGTAGCACATGTTGTATGTAGCATTTGTTGTAGTCAACTTCAAAGTCAGTATTTAGATATATACAATTATATTACGAGAAATGTATTTCCAATGCAAATTCAGTGTTCATCTGAAAAATAATTAATGCAAAAGCTACATAATTTTGCAATATAAGAAAACTTGGGCATCAATGATTTCCTATTTGGATTCAAAATGATTTTATTTGGCGAGGTTGAATTTTTTTTATTTTAATTTATTTTTCTAAAGCTTGCACATTTTCCCCGCTAAATTGGTTGTAGCAATTGTTACAAATTTTTTCTACAAAATGCAAGTCTATTTATATTTTCTAGTTACAAAGTTATAAATCAAACAATGCATTTACAAATATGCGTGTT